TTTTTTTGGTATTAATATGTACGTCTCACTTGAGTATTTACCTTTTTTTTTCCTAAAATATTTATTTTACTATTGACATCGTAATAATCCGTATGAACACAGCACACGGTTGGTAGTCTTTAGCATGTCTATAGTACTACCAACTTGTTAAAAACAATTCAAAAACAGCTATTACTGCACCCTTCACAAAAGACCATATCAATATCCTATTTCATGGTGGCTGCCTACAAACATTGTGGATGAGCATTTTTCTTTTTCTTTTTTCATTAAAGTTGCTTCTATGCCTTGTATTTTATGTTTGTCATAAAATGCATAACTCCATTTTAAATGTATCTCTCAATTTTTTTATTTTTATTTTTGGTGATAGATATCGTGTAACTTGCATCGATCAAAATAGCATCAGTAAATTTAGGCTGTTAATCACTGGAGATGCAACTTGTTTTGGCAACCCATGCGAGCATTTAGGGCTCAACTGTGACCACATCAATAAATAATTGATTCTACGGCTATTGCTCAGTGTACTGGATCAACTTTAAACTTTTTTGTATTCATCGTAATATATTCTTCAGTGCAACAACAGATCATTATTTTTTTCTTATATTATGTCTTTGATTCTGATAATAAAGTGGCAAACCAACCTAATCCATGGATAGATAAATTCTATCAACCACGCATAAAGCATTCACACCCTAACAACTAAGATTGTGTTGGAATTAATTTTGAAACATAGAATAATGTAAAAATAGGTTTATGGAAAAGTTAGTTTTAGTTATTCTAAATACGTAAATGTAATGTATTGATTATAAAAGTCTTTAACGTTATTCTATAAATGTATAATTTAAGTTCAATAAAAAAACTTCTTTTTATACGAGAGTAATATGATACAATATCAATCAATGATATAAGTTTCATCATGCTTTTCTATGTTTTTCTCTCTTTATATTCTCTAGCTGATTTGGTTGATTATCAAAATCATCAATCATTTACGAATCTCTTTTTTAATCCAATTGGGTGTGGACATATTATAAACCTAGCTCTCATGTTTTGTTAATTAACTTGTATTAAAAAAAAGACATGCAAGTCACCGTTGCAAAAGAACGTCTTCCTCTTTCATCAATTATTATAAGAATTTTCACTGCTTACAACGCACTATATCAACAAATTAATGTTAAGCAACTCAATATTATTGGATTTTCTTTTATAAATGGTTCATAATTTGCTACGCAATACATAAATAACTCAGTAATCTCGGTAGTATAACAATGCTCTGCTCTGGCACAGGCACAGCACCATTAACAAACTAGTTTTTACTGTTAGACCAGGAGCCCACTTCCCGGATTAACTGCACCAATCTTGTTGGCCCATGCATGACTGCAACACCTATTAGGCTATCTCCTACATAGAAATCCATGTTTTATATGGTAGGCTTTATTCTTTATCCAACATCGGAGAAAAATAGCGAGACTCAACCATAGAAGGTGGCCCAATAAATAACTTTGGGGTTTAAAATCATAGCCACTATGCCTGTTTTCCAGATGCGTGCTCCTTTTCTTTTCTGTTTTCTGGGAAGTAAGCACTGATTTTTTTTTTAATTAAGAAAAGTAAGTTACAGATTTGATTATGAAGCAATGTTAACATACTTTTGCTAGTCACAACGTCATAGAAAGGTTTCTAATTCGATAAGTTGGCTGGTATAATGCCACTTCAATGGTATCAAATTTTTAAGATAATGTATTATTTTCTTACTTCCTTTTAAATTAATGATACCAATTAAAGAAAGAAATGAAAGCAACTGAATATAAATTGTTTGTTTAAAACCTGATGAGAGAAAAATTTAATTCTGATCATATACAAAAAGAGCCGAAAATTAACATACCCAAATTGGATAAATTGTATTTTTTAAACGATTTTACATATCAAAACTATGTATAATTTGAATTTTTTTTTATTGAGATACTAATTTTTTTTTTCAATTTAAGAACTCTAATCTTATATTGTTATTGTTTCAGATTGTAGCTAATAACAATTTATCATATAAATATATATGAAAATCTCTAATTAATAACATTTTACTACGTCACAAGTTCAATAATTCAATTTAGACCCATCATAATATGTGATAAATTATTATTAATTAGAGATTACCAGCTATGCTTACATGCACATTGATATCTAATCAATAATATTTTACTACCTTAACAGTTCAATAATTTTACTTAAACCTATCATGATATGTGATAAATTATTATTAATTAAAGATTATTATGTGTACTTATAGACATATTAAGATCTAAAACAATAATAATTTAAAAATATAACTTTTAAATTAGATAAAAAAAAAAACTCAAGGTTTCAATATAAAAATTCGAATGATACTAGGTTTCATACATGCAAAACCCATTTTTTAAAAAGAAGGTATAAAGTATCTAAGTTTGCTCACTCGTGCAAATATACCACGCGGAGCATGATTAGCTTAAAGAGAAAGGATCGCTAGAAAGCCAATTTTGGCGATTATCGAATTTAATTTTACAGGAAAAAAGGTACACTCGTGGCATCTTGCTATCGTCGATTTAAAAGTCAGTACTAATTTTTCTTTTGGCTGGGTCTGTGGGTGGGTGGTGGTGGTTGTTGTTTATTCAATGCCTTTCATTTCAATGCACAAAATGTTTCATTTATAATTTGGCATGCTTTGTCGAACCATGACCACGCAATATATATATCCTCGAAGATCAGGAAAAAACACAGCAGGTAAAATTTTTTTATAAAAAATGTATAACATAAACACACATCTTCCTAGGCTCTTAAACATAAGTTAGTTTTTTTTTTTCTTTTTTTCAATCCAAGCAGACTCCCTGACCCTTGACGGAGCGAAAGAGAGGGTGAAAGTAGAAAAGAGGATCCAAAGACGCCTCGCACCTGTCCAGGAAAGCCTAAAACAGAAACAGCCAGAAAAAGGCTAAACCATATTCGGACTCTCCCACTGTCAAATGTATATTCAGTTCTGTCCCCCATTTACTATAGACTTCAACAAAACCACTGATTTATCGTAATTGATTCAATATCAACCTTTTGCTTAGTACTCGTTTGTTTTTGCCATCACAATGTTGATCATGATCACGTGCACAACAATTTCCCCTGTGTGCCCAATAATTGTATGTCTAGTAATTTAATTTTGCGAAATAAAATACTAATATCAATTATTATAGTTTTTTAAGTTTATACTAATGCTAATATATCGGGGGAGTATCATTCTCTTGGGATGTTCAATGAACATAAAAAAAGAAAAGAAAAAAAAAAGGCATTTCCTCTCCTGATGTTATCCAAAGTTCTCTAATTTTCTATAGTTAGATTTAATATCAATTTAAATTTTTGGATTTTTTATGTTAAGATGTTTGAAAATTAAATGTGAATTCTGCATTTTCCTTTTGAATAAATGAGATGCACACAATTAGTGTTCACAAATGTACGTTTGTTTTGTTTGTGTAAACTTTTTGAACAATTAATTATTTTCTACGCTTAGGTCTTATGAAAAATGCGAAACATTTTTTTACTGCTTAATGACACTATTTGTTTTTCTTTCTCTTATAATAGATTTATATGACTTGATGTAGATGCTTTAAGTATGATGCAAATTTTAGCATTCAATTAAGACAAATATCTATTAAAATTGTGTACAAGGAATTAAAATAAACTAAACGAGTACTATTTTAGGTATAAGATAATTTTAACCCTCCTTTCGTATGATTTATTTTAAATAGATGAATTAAACACGATCTAAAATTTATAAATAATTATAAAATAATTCAAGAGATATTCATGTATGAATCAATGCTACTGTAGCCATATATACACTTTACTATCATTTCTTGAATATAAATAAATTCATAATTTTCTATAAATTTAACTTATTTTATGATTAATGTTGTAAGTTATTTTTTTTAAAAGAAGATGAGAAATAGTACACAATGAAAAAAGTGCACATAAACCTTTAGCTATGCAAAAAGATGATAATAATAAACTCCATGAAGTGTTTAAAAATGATAAGTTTTTTTTCTTTATTTTAAGAAGATACTTTATTTTCTTGAATATTATGTCTTTTTTAAGTTAAAAAGAACTTTTCATCGTTTATTTTTTAAAGTCGCTAAACATTGAAAAAAATATAAAACTATATATTTGAGGAGAACATTTTCTTGCAAACTAATAAGGCTATGATGAGAATATATAAATATAATTTCAACAATGAGGATATTTTTTAACTAATTTCTCGATATGTTTTTTTTAGTAGAGTCTCGAGAGCAGGTCATTTACATCCAAACTAATGCATTCAATAGATTATTTTTCACATCTTTTTATATGACTAATTATTAGGTAAGTGACCATTGTATTTTATCATATAAAGAAAAATATAGAATTCATTATTAAAAATAATTCTCAAGTCTCATGTTTTTAGAAAAAGAAAAATTACAGTTTTTGATGTATTGAATAATTCCTTCTTTTCTTATAATTTGAAATTTGGATGATGCCAGAAGTAAATCCACTTGCTATCCAACGGTGAAACTATCATCAGTCCGATCAAAGGCTAACATAGATTCTATGTAGGATAATTAGCAGTGGCAATAAATTATTTTGTAGAAGGAAACTAAATTGAAACCTTCGTGATACTTAGAGGATATGTATGTAGTTTATGTATAACAAGGAAATACCCACACTCCGACAGAGGGAGAAAGAGAAACAGAAAAAAGATCGAAAGAGAAAACAATGGCAGCAACAACAATATTAAGGAAAACAAAACTAACAGCAGCCTTACCTCTCTATCACCTCCCTTACCTTTCATCAATCACTCCATTTCCTTCCTCCCTATAAACCCCAAAAACGAAGTTACCTCTTAAAAACACGCACATTATATCTTTCCGTCTCCTCTCCCGCATTCAAAATCAAATCAAGCATGTTTCTGTAAATCATACAGAAAACAACAAATTCAGTTCTTCATTTCTCTCACAATGGAGTCATTGATCGAACTCTGTGATCTAATTTCACAAAATCCTGTACAATTCGCTGATAAATTGACCTGGCTATGCAATCGCTGTCCTCAACCAGAGTTTCTCTTAACCGCATCGCCTAGGGTTTCTCACTCACAAATCAATGCAATCCTCGCAGTTTCTCGATTCCTGTCCAAAACCCTCGATCACACCGGTAACCGTCCAAAATCACTAATCCTCGCCTTCTTCCGCTCAATTCCGACGTCGTTTAATCCTTCCTTCTGGCCACAATCCTTCTCCAACGACTCGATCGCGTCATTTTTTACCGATTTCTTGGCTTACGTGTCGAAGTCGGCCGAATTGGATCCGGATTTCTCTGAGGATGTTGCCGGATTTGTTGGAGAGGTTGTTATGGCTGCGATTGAGAACAATGCCAATGAGAATTTGGCGAGTTTGGCGATTTCTAGGGTTTTTTTATTGCTTTAACGGAGAATTTTGTTCCAATTTTGCCGGAGGATGGGGAGAAGTTGATTACGTGTCTTTTAGATCAGTTTAATGTTCCCGTACAGGTGCCGTCGTCCCCTAGTGAGCGAATTGGGATGAATTCTGGAACGTCATCGTCGCAGAGTTCGCCATTGAGTAACAATGCGAATCATCACAATAGTGAGATTTCGAGTATGGGGAATGATTTGAGTCAAATCTCATTGTCTTCGTCAAATGCGTCGACGACAGTGGTGATGAATGGGAGTGGAGTTATGTCGAAGAGTGGTTTGGAGACAATGAGTGTGGCAATTGATGGAGGTGGGGGATTGAGCAGGCAACAAGTGGCTTCATTTGAGGAAGAGAGCGTGGAGGGATTGGAGAAGCAGGAGATTGCATACAAGTTGATTGGACATGTTTTAGGTTGTGTTAGGATAGATAACAAGCTTTTGGAGCAAGTTAGGTTCATTGCTAAGAAGCAGCTTCAATCTCTCTCTGCATTTTTGAAGGTAACTGCTCCTGTGTATGAAGGCGCTTGTAGTGCATTCCATATGGAAAACCTAACCTTTGTTTTTGGGCATATACTGGCTACATTTGAAGCTAAACGTGCTTATACGTTGACTTGATTTTGGATATATTTTTTACATTTTAACATAAGAGGTAACTCTCAGGAGAAACCATGGATTTGAACTGATTACAGTAAAATTTGAATTTTGAAATTGGTTACGGCTTCTTTCCTTGCGTGTGTGCATGCATCTGGGAATATAAATATTTGGGCTAGTTTTGTGTGTGTGTATGTATATTTGTGCAAGTACGTGTGTGTGTGTGTAATAAATGAATTGCACGCAACCTCTTACTGTAGCAGGAAACAAGATAACTAAATTTGTTGAATATAAGGGTTGATAAGGGAAAGTTGTTTTTGTTTTCAGATACGGAAACGGGACTGGAATGAACAGGGACAGCTTTTAAAAGCAAGAGTCAATGCAAAACTCTCTGTCTATCAAGCTGCAGCCAGGATGAAAGTTCAAAGTCTTGCATCTCTTGATGTGGATGGCAAGACATCCAAGAGGTTGGTGCTTGAGACTCTGGCATTGTTGATAGATGCTGCAGAAGCCTGTTTACTCTCAGTGTGGCGCAAGTTGAGAATTTGTGAAGAGCTGTTCAGTTCCTTGCTTGGTGGGATTGCACAAATTGCTGTCACCAAGGGAGGTCAGCCAATGCGTGTCTTGCTTATTCGCCTTAAGCCACTTGTGCTGACTACCTGTGCACAGGCATGTGTTATGGATAGATTTCAATTTTGCATATACAAAGCATGCAACACTGTCTGTAATGTTGTTCATTCCAATTTAACAGGCTGATACCTGGGGCGGTAGTCAGGGAGCAATGTTTGAGACTGTCATGAAGACAAGTTGTCAGATAATTGAATCTGGCTGGACAAAGGATCGCGCTCCTGTGGACACATTTATCTCTGGATTGGCCTCCAGTATACGTGAACGAAATGATTATGATGAACAGGTTGGTCTATATTATGAGCAAGACTCCAATGTATTCATAACTATGATGTACAGATTACAGACACAATTTTGTAGGAGTCTGTCTGCTTGTCAACATTTTTGACGTGGGTGCTTTCAAATTAATCTTGGGATGGTATAGCTTTGTTTGTTTTCTTATTTTTTCTTACGTTCACTATGGGTGAGAACATCAGATGTGCTCTTCTTTTTTTGGTTGAGGTTATAGATAGTAACAGAAGTTGTTTGCTCACTAGGAGTGTAACCATCAATCATGAAAACCTTTCTGCAGCTCATATTTTCCAATTTTTTATTGATCCCTGGTTCAACTTCATTCTCTGTTTACCAGTCGTGCTGATTTTCAGGCTGACAAGGAGAAGCAGGGAGTTCCTGCTGTGCAGCTTAATGTTATTCGCTTGCTGGCTGATTTGACTGTTGCTGTTAACAAGTCTGAAGTGGTAGACATGATATTGCCACTTTTTATTGAAAGCTTGGAAGAGGGCGATGCTTCAACTCCTGGTTTATTGCGGCTTCGAGTAGGGAATCTTTGTTTTCGGAGCAATTTATTATCTAATATAGATTTGATTTGCTCATATCTATTTGTTCTTTCGATTGGTGGTCATTTCAAATGGTAATCTACTATTTTGCACCTCAGTTTGGTGGCATATTTCTAACTTCTTTCTCCCCTTATCTCCTTGCAGCTTCTCGATGCTGTTTCTCGCATCGCAAGTTTAGGTTTTGAGAAGTCGTATCGTGAGACAGTTGTTCTAATGACAAGAAGTTACTTAAGTAAACTATCAAGTATAGGGTCTGCTGAAAGCAAAACATTGGCACCAGAAGCCACCACAGAACGTGTCGAGGTATGCATTGTTTGTAATGATCAGTCATACATGATATCTTTGAGATGGCTGATGGTTTATCTTATCAAATGGTGACTCACTAGTTCCATCACATTCTAGACTCTTCCTGCAGGATTTCTTCTGATTGCTAGTGGGCTTAAAAATATGAAATTGCGTTCAGACTATCGTCATCGTTTGCTATCTCTGTGCTCGGATGTAGGCCTGGCTGCTGAATCCAAAAGTGGAAGGTAGATATATGTTCCTTTACTAGGAATCTCTTATTTTATCTGCCCATTACAGCCATTTTTTTCCATCATTGCACTGTGTTTCTGGTGTTATTCTATCTGACACTCCAATTGTTGCAGGAGTGGAGCAGATTTTCTAGGGCCTCTGCTTCCTGCTGTTGCGGAAATAGGCTCTGATTTTGATCCCACTATGCATGTGGAACCATCACTCTTGAAATTGTTCCGCAACCTGTGGTTCTATGTTGCTCTTTTTGGTCTATCACCGCCCATTCAGAAAATTCAACAGCCAGCAAAGTCAGTTTCAACTACACTGAACAGTGTGGGAAGCATGGGCACAATTGCTCTTCAAGCAGTGGGTGGACCTTACATGTGGAATGCACAGTGGGCGTCTGCTGTTCAGCGAATTGCTCAAGGGACTCCTCCTCTTGTAAGTTGATTGCCAATGGTTATTAGAATGATGGCATCTTATCGACTTAAAACAATTTCTTTCTGTTTTTCTCTGAAATTGTGGCAAATGTCTTTAACTTGTTAGTGATTATTTTGTTTAATTTTATAATTTTCTGCAACAGATTGTTGTTCTGGAATGTATATGTTACACACACTGTTAATCAGCTTTATTTATTTATTTATTTTTTTCCTTACATGGCTTTAGTTAAACCTATGAAAAGTTACGACATTTGGGTGCATGTAAATTATTGTTGCTAGAACATGGGTCTACATAAATAGGAAAAAAGTTAGGCTATTCTTGTAATTTTCTAATTGGGCAACTTACAGTTATCTCAATTCATCAATGAATTACTCTTTTTCTGAAATAAAATGTCAATCATAGCAAAATGTATCCAAATTACAACAACATTGTCTGATATGGTAGATACACAACTCTTATGTCTTCTGAAAAGAATTTCAGTGATCATAATATGGTCTAACTTCTGCTAAAAAAATTTTGATTGCTTGATTATTATTTTATTTTATTTATTTATTTATTGGAGGGTGGGTGTGGGGGTTATCAGGAAAGCATCTGATGAATGGATTTGCTATATGTTCAAATTAGGGAGGTTGTTGTTCCGTCAGTATTTCTCTCTTCTGTGCATATTCTTCTTTTATGACCTTTGAGCCTCACTGTGTCAGCTGTAAAAATAGGACTTTTGTCCTGTCATATAGCTGATGTGGAATATCAACTGTGCAAAAAGATCAACCTTGTGTTTGCCTTGTAGACTGTAGTAATCTGAGACATATAAGAACTTGGGAGGGGATCATCATTTTGATGGTAATGCATTTGGTGTTCCAATCACTATATCCTGGACTTTAAGGATTAAATGAACAAGCAATAACTTGACGCAGATGCATTTCACTTTCAAACTGGAACCCATTTTTGCTATATATGCTTTTGAATTCCAAAACATTACTTATCTTATGATCTTAAATTATTTTTAATTATTTACAATTTCAGCTTTTTGACATGCCTCTTTACATTTGTACTTGATTATCTTACTCTATGTTTAACTATTCTAGAGAGGCATTTCTAGAGATTTTACACATATTTGAGCTTGTCATAATAATATATCTCTCCAGGTTGTTAGCTCAGTGAAATGGCTTGAAGATGAATTGGAACTCAATGCCCTCCATAATCCTGGCAGTCGTCGGGGGAATGGCAATGAGAAAGCAGCTCTAAACCAAAGATCTGCTCTTTCAGCTGCTCTAGGTGGCAGGGTTGATGTAGCAGCGATGAGCACAATTTCAGGTTTAGTAGATTCCTTACTATGTTGTTGCACTTTAAATTTATGATTCTGGTGTAGTTTAATTGTTTTCAACTTGACTCTTCCTTCTTTAGCTATCTTGAAATTGTGGTCGGAATTCTTCCTTATTAATGGTCATGAAATTTAATTTTTTCAAGTCTGCTTTAATTTTGGTGTCTCAAGTATATGTGGTGTTTGCGCATTGGTTTTACAGGTGTGAAGGCAACCTATCTTCTTGCTGTAGCATTTTTGGAGATAATACGTTTCAGCAGCAACGGTGGCATCCTTAATGGTGGTGCTAGTTTGAGTGCTTCTAGAAGTGCCTTCAGCTGTGTCTTCGAGTATCTAAAAACTCCAAATCTTATGCCAGCTGTGTTCCAATGTTTGACGGCTATTGTTCACAAGGCATTTGAAGCATCAGTATCCTGGCTGGTATTTTTTATTTCATTTAAAGCCTTTTTCTATCAATGCCCTTCAATTTGTTTTTCTACTCATGTAGGGAACATTGATTACTTTTAGTTCTTAGTTCTTGTACAAAAGTTGTAAATTTTGAAATAATACATTCCCTTATGTTCTCTGTAAAGTGTCAGTTAGAATCCATATAATTCTTCCTCCCAGGACTGCACTTCATTGAGACATAACTGGTGATATCTTTTTCTTTCTCGTACTCTGTTTAAAATGAAATAAATTTGATACTAGCAGTGGATGATTTTCAAGTGTGACATTAAGTGACTTTTTATTTCTTGCTTCATGGGGGCTATTTCTTTCTTAAATAATATCATATTGTAGTAGAAATACATATTGTACCTTTTCATTTGTTTACTGCTCTCTTCCCACTCCCTACCTTGTGAACGTCATTGATGCTTTGATCTGATTTCAGGAAGATCGAATAACTGAAACGGGCAATGAAGCCGATGTGAGGGAATCAACTCTTTTTTCCCATGCCTGTTTTCTTATAAAAAGCATGTCACAGAGGGAGGAACACATTCGAGATATTTCTGTAAACTTGTTGACTCAACTTAGAGATAAGTTTCCTCAGGTAACATCGTTGGTAATGCTGTTTGCAGTAGATTGCTTTTGTTTCGTTTTTTTGTGATCACAACTTGCCTAGTCTTATATTGAAGAAATGGAACTACATTTGTGCAGGTTTTGTGGAATTCATCCTGTTTGGACTCCCTGCTATTTTCAGTTCACAATGAGTCACCTTCTGCAGTTATTAATGATCCTGCTTTGATAGTGTCAGTTCGTTCTTTGTACCAAAGGATTGTCAGGGAATGGATCAGCATATCACTTTCATATGCCCCATGCACTAGCCAAGGTCTGCTTCAGGTTGGTTTTACAATATCATAATGATCAGATGAAGTTGATTTAAATTTCTATATTTGCTAAATATGTGAATATATGTGATATGGCTATCATGCTTGAGTTGTTTCTGATATTTCTTGCAATTAATTGAGATTTGTGCTTGCTCTCTTGTATGCTTGTCATGCTTAATTTAAACAAGGGCTTATGCTAGTCTATCGGTTTTGTATTTTTGTGAAATGGAAGTTTCCCTTCTATCATATTGACAGTTGGTGGTGGTCAATTATTAATCTGTTTTCTTTATCTGATAGTGATCTGTTTTGGTTTAATTACCTGGGAGTAATGTGTGAATTTCAGATGTAGTCACATTTTCGTTTAAGATACTCTCACTTTGGATTGTCCCCTCCCTTTTCTAGGTGATATACTGGTTTGTCATGTAAGCTGCCTATGGATTATAAGCAAATCTTGCTTTGACTTACTGGAATTTGGTTTATTTCTTTATTAAGATTAAGCTTTGTGATGTTGTTGATAATGATGATCCTGTTTATTTTAATGGAGTTTCAACGTCTCCTTAAAATTACTTGTTTTTATTTCATTTCTTGATGGGCCTCTGTTCCTTTGTTTGTGGTTCCAAACACTTTAGGAAAAGCTTTGCAAAGCAAATACATGGCAGAGAACGCAACAAACAGCTGATGTTGTTTCTCTCTTAACTGAGATACGGATTGGGACTGGTAAAAATGATTGGACTGGCATACGAACAGCTAATATTCCTGCAGTCATGGCTGCAGCAGCAGCTGCTTCAGGAGCTAACTTGAAATTGACGGAAGCTTTCAATTTGGAGGTGCTCAGTACTGGTATCGTCAGTGCAACGGTTAAGTGCAACCATGCTGGAGAAATTGCAGGCATGAGAAGGTTGTATAACAGTATAGGTGGATTTCAATCTGGGGGCAAACCAACAGGTTTTGGTAGTGGTCTTCAAAGGTTGATAACTGGAGCATTTTCTCAACAACCACCAGCTGAGGATGATTCATTTAATGAGATGCTACTTAATAAGTTCGTACATCTTCTTCAGCAATTTGTCAGTATTGCAGAGAAAGGTGGGGAAGTGGACAAGTCACAGTTTTGTGATACTTGTTCTCAGGCCACTGCATTTCTTCTCTCAAATCTGGTAAAAAGATGCTCCCCCTCTTGTCATTGATTTTTTCCTGCTGATAATGTTGAAGAACTTTTGTGTCTTACGTTTTTTTGTTCATCTTTTGTGTTTGGTGTTAGGCTTCTGAGTCAAAATCAAATGTAGACGGCTTTGCTCAACTTCTACGTCTTCTTTGCTGGTGTCCGGCATATATTTCTACTCCTGATTCGATGGAGACTGGTGTTTTCATTTGGACTTGGTTGGTTTCTGCTGCACCACAACTCGGTTCTCTTGTGCTTGCAGAGCTAGTGGATGCTTGGTTATGGACAATTGATACGAAACGTGGACTTTTTGCGCATGAAGTGATGTACTCTGGACCTGCTGCGAAACTGAGACCTCAGCTAGCCCCTGGGGAGCCTGAACCACAGCCTGAAATTGATCCTGTTGAACAAATAATGGCGCATAGAATATGGATTGGATTTTTCATTGACCGTTTTGAGGTTAGGAATTATCTATAATTGACCATCTCTCTCTCAGTTACATCTTATACTATCGGTATTCATTCTTTTGTATTTATTAGAATGCATTCTGGGTGGGGGTAATGTGTTTTGTAGTGATTTTCAGTATTCACATGTAGGAGTTTGCACATAGAGTTGGATACTAGTTGTATTTGTTTTTTTGCAGCAATAAGCAATTATTTTTATTATTCCATTAAAATATTGTGTGATTTGGTGTTGTATAGGTAGTTCGACACAATAGTGTGGAACAACTCCTGCTTCTTGGTCGGTTGTTACAAGGGACAACCAAATCTCCCTGGAACTTTTCACGACATCCTGCAGCTACTGGCACTTTTTTTACCATCATGCTTCTTGGTCTTAAGTTCTGTTCATGTTATTCCCAAGGCAATTTGCAGAATTTCAAAACAGGGCTTCAACTACTGGAAGATCGTATTTATAGGTCGCTTCCATTGACTGTACTTTGACACTTGCTGCTTATTCTCTGTATGCTTCATTGACTGTTTACTCTAACCCGTAGCAACTGAAAGAAGAAGGTTGTACAGTATATTTAACAAAGAAATCTGCTTATAAAAAAAAAAAAAAAAAACAAAATCACAAATAATACAAAAATGGAAATCTTTTGGGGTGTGTGTGTTGGATCAGGGTGGGGGTTTGGATAACCATTAAGTAGGTCAAGGTGCTGGTTATATTCATGCGAAAGGAAATGTTGAAGAGGAAGGTATTCTCAGTTACTTTGTTAATGGCCTTATTTGTTGCATTGTTGTTTATCCAATAATTTTGTTCTGAGAGACACCTCCAATGCCTGAGTTAGCCGGGTTGGCTTTGGAGTACTATTGGTCCAAGTGTTTGGTGATGAAATGATTCAATGCTATTGATGATGATTAAATGCTTTATGTGCTATTGCGTTTTGAAGATTGAAAGTCATGTTTGGTGCATATTTCAGGGCCTGTTTAGGTTGGTTTGCTTTTGAGCCTGAATGGTTTGATGTAAACAATGTGAATTTTGCCCAGAGTGAGGCTCGATCTGTCGCCGTATTTGTGCACTATATTTCTAATGATGGTCAATCTGATGCAAGAGGACGGGGGAATGAGAATGGGACTTATTTGGTTGATATGGTAAGCATATTACATTTGCTGCACGTGGAATCAATAACAATGCATAATTCTAAGACTTGGTTCTTTCACATTTTAATACCTACATATATCCTCATCCTTTTTTTTTGTCACTTTCCTATTGTCCTAGATGCATGTGCTTCTTTGAAATTCATCAACTCAAGACTTGAAATGACTTTGTATAGTATTAGTGGATTAATAAAATGAAGTAATTGCAGAATGATCAGTATCACCCTGTATGGGGCCAGATGGGGAACTACGCTGCAGGAAGAGAAAAACGGAAGCAGCTTCTTTTGATGCTATGCCAGCATGAAGCTGATAGGCTTGAAGTTTGGGCACAACCCACTAACTCTAAGTAAACCTTCACTATTCTGTGCAATGAATGCATATCTGTTGCCTAGTTTTTGAAGATGTTCTTATACTGACTTTCATGGGGATGTTTTTTTCATCATTAGGCATACTATTAGTTTCTTAAGATCTTGACTCCTTTGTGTTTCCATTTTAAGGGAAAATACATCTCGACCTAAAATCAGCTCAGAGAAATGGATTGAATATGCTAGGACTGCCTTCTCTGTGGATCCAAGGATCGCCTTATGCTTGGTCTCAAGGTTACCAACAAATACTAATTTGAAAGCTGAAGTAACTCAACTAGTTCAGGTAGTTTTGCCATATCTTTATTAGCAGGAGCATAAAATTGTAAATAACTGATAATATGAAACATCTGAATAAGGATTAACAATTTGTATTTGGTTAGAAGATGATTTTCATGATTTCATTTAGGAAAATCATCTTTATGAATTGTTGTTATTCCACGGGTGAAAGTATAAAAGGTTCTTGATATTTGTTAGGAATCAGTTTAAACCTTTGGAAAGTGAAAGTAAGAGACTTTGTGTTTAATTCTGTGCCACTAAATGATCTGCTATTATTGTCTTAAACAAAGTGGAAACGTTATATAAATATCAGGAAAATAATATTTTATTTTATTAAGCTGCATTTGCAGAAGTTACAATATCTAGTTACGGTTGAATTTCTTTCAACTTGATGCACCATTGATGGTTTTTAGATCTTCTGCTTTTTTATATTAGCATGTTTTTATTGGCTATAATTTGTTTGTTCTTTGTTCTTTTTTTTTTTTTTTTTTTTTGGTCAGAACTTATTTATTTCCCCTCTCCTGAATATCCCTTATGCTTCTGCTGTCCATGGGTATTTGGTTTTCGTCGGGATTTTTGCCCATAAAAACATCATGATATCCTGTGGTACTCTTTACTTTTGTGGAAAATTGGGTATGGGAATGATTTATTTTGTCCTTTGGTGATGCCAGCCACCCCCTCCTTTCTTTCTTTCTTCTTCTTCTTCTTTTTTATTTATTTTTTTTTTTTTGGAAATGGATGGCAGCCCCTCTTTAATTATTTGTTAATTGTGTAATTTAGTTTACAATATCGATTTTTCTGGTGTTTCCATTGCAGTCGCATATTTTGGACCTCCGCTGCATCCCTGAAGCATTGCCATATTTTGTCAACCCGAAGGCTGTTGATGAAGATTCAGTGCTTTTGCAACAACTGCCTCATTGGGCTGGATGTTCAATCACTCAAGCACTTGAGTTCCTGACTCCTGCATACAAGGGTCATCCACGTGTGATGGCATATGTTCTTAGAGTTTTGGAGTCTTACCCTCCAGAGCGAGTGACTTTCTTTATGCCACAGCTAGTACAATCTTTGCGATACGATGATGGGGTGGGTTATCTGATGAACCTGGCCTTTTGGATTTATGCTAACATTCCAGTTCAGGCTTGGTTGGGGAAGCCCTAACTTTATCTTAATTTAAGAGGGGTTCTGTTGGTGTGGAGGATGGGCATCTAAACCGCTTTGAACCTGACTCACCTAAACAATACTGTTCGTATTGATTTATGTTGCAAGAGATAAGCAAGCCAAATAAGAAAGGTGTTTTTATTAAAAAAAAAAAGGCAAAAATTCTTTTTGTAAACTTCTTTTATCCACACCGACCTTAATCCTCATACTCCACTGTAACCTGGCATCTATACTGGTTGAATTGCGGACAATCAGGCTGTTGGTATTGGATTGGTAGGGTCTAGTTTTTCTACTTAACTTTATAAAGCTGCGTGAATTGAAACCGGGATTGTATTACTTGTCCTTTTTGGGAATGGGATTTTAAACTGCCACTGCAAATATACAAGTATTTTCTTATTCATTGGGTTTCTTCTTGTATAATTTTTGCAGAGGTTAGTAGAAGGATATTTGCTCAGAGCAGCTCAGAGAAGTGATATATTTGCCCATATTCTGATATGGCATCTGCAGGTGTGGAAAGATTCATATATTTGCATGGCAAAAATGTCTGTTAGTTCCTCACATAATAGTCTTATGTTCTTTTCTCTGGGTTTGCTCAAGTCATGGATTCTTTATGCATGGCAGGGTGAAACGTTTACATCAGAAGCAGGAAAAGAAGTTGCCTCTGGAAAGGTATGTATAGGTTTTTCTTCTAGTCAACCAGGACTCTTCCCTTTATACATTATTTAACGCTTTAATCTTGACACCATAGAAGCTGCTAATAGTAATTACCCCTTTATATATGGATAATTTATCTGGAGGGTATATGGGTGGTTCCTAAGATGCTACATGTGGGCATGTGCATCTGCATGTATGAATTGAGGATCCCACCATCATCTTACCATTTCATGCTTAACTTCTAGATTTATTTATGCTGTTATTTCAGAATGGTTCTTTTCAAGAACTGTTGCCAGTTGTTCGTCAGCATATTATTGATGGTTTCACTCCCAAGGCCCTCGACTTGTTTCAAAGGGAATTTGATTTCTTTGATAAAGTTACATCTATTTCCGGTGTTCTCTATCCACTTCCTAAGGAAGAACGCCGAGCTGGTATTCGGAGGTATACCCATACTCTCTTATCGCTTAACTTCATTCTTTTTATGGTTTGTATCTTGCTGTTGATGTTGCCTTTGGCTCACTACAATAGGGAGTTGGAGAAAATTGAATTGGTCGGAGAAGACCTTTACTTACCAACTGCTCCTAACAAGCTTGTTAGGGGTATCCGGGTGGACAGTGGAATACCTTTACAATCTGCAGCAAAAGTTCCCATCATGGTGACATTTAATGTGGTTGATCGGTGTGGGGACCAGAATGATGTAAAACCCCAAGCTTGCATCTTTAAGGTATGATTGTTAACATGTTACTGTAACTAGAATTCCTCTGTAGTTTAGACCCAAAAAAACTTTAGTTATAAAATCCCCATAGAACATGCCACCTACAACATTGATATTCACAAATTCGTATAAATAATGAACTACATATGCGGTTGTATTATTTCTCTAAAGATGTTTCCCATTTCAAGCCATGTTATGTTTCTGGTCACATAATTTACTGAGGCTTGCATAAAATCTTTTGGATTTGAATGGAATAGATGGCATTGATGATAGTAAAATGCATCTTTCTTTGCAAACTAAATTTTATCAGTCATTAAGTTTTGATGCTGGTTGTACCTGTGTTATCATAAAATGGCTTAATTTATTGATTTCCATTTTTTTAGGTAGGAGACGATTGTCGACAGGATGTTCTTGCTCTTCAAGTCATAGCACTCCTTAGAGATATATTTGAAGCAGCTGGACTTAATCTCTACTTGTTTCCTTATGGAGTTCTCCCTACTGGTCCTGAGAGAGGCATAATTGAGGTGAGTTTTTGTCTATAACTATTATTTTAGCTGTGCTTGTCTAGTGCAATGTTACCTGGAATACAGCTCAATATGATATGCAGAATGAGAGCAAGAGTGCAGTTTGCCACATAGAGTTGAATGCTGTACCTACAAGATATGTGCATATAGAGTAGGAATGCCATTTCAGAAATGGTGATTTTTTTGTCATTCAAGACTAATAGCCAATTTCTAAACATCAGACTTTCCAAAATATTAGTTCCGTCCTTTCCTTTTCGTTTGATGTGGCAACGCTCAACCTATTATCCTAAAGTTGCCTCTTCTTTTTAAAAAGAATCTTCTGTGATGTTGCTCTGTGTGTATTGCTTACATGTTACTAACCATGTTTAATCATGTAGGTTGTGCCTAACACACGGAGCAGAAGTCAGATGGGTGAAACAACAGATGGTGGCTTGTATGAAATCTTTCAACAAGATTATGGGCCCGTTGGCTCTCATAGTTTTGAAGTTGCACGTGAGAATTTTATCATTAGTAGTGCTGGTTATGCAGTCGCCAGTCTTCTACTTCAGCCAAAGGATAGACACAATGGGAATCTTCTCTTTGACAAGTCCGTGATCTTTTTATTTTTCTATTTTCATTGAAGTAATTGTTGATTGATTGCAATGAATGGGGAGTCAAATTAGTTCCTTCATGTGCAAACATACACGTTCCTAACCAAAATAGAAGGAAAAGGGGGTAAAAAAAAAAACCAGCATGCCTAACACGAATCAACACAGAAGTTAATTAGGTTTTAGGATTTTAAGAGAAAATATTGACTACCTAACACTGACATTCATGCCAATGCAGCGTGGGGAGGCTTGTTCACATTGATTTTGGTTTTATCTTGGAAACATCACCGGGTGGAAATATGCGCTTTGAGAGTGCACACTTCAAGCTGAGCCATGAGATGACTCAGTTACTAGATCCCTCTGGTGTTATGAAGAGCGAAACTTGGTTCCAATTTGTAAGGTAGGATTGGTGCTTGTTTTTGGATGTTCTCTCTTGTATCTGCTTTCTTGGGCAAAGATTTCGAGAACTGAATGTTTGGTTTCCCACCATTTTTCAACAGCTTGTGTGTGAAGGGGTATCTGGCAGCCCGCCGCTACATGGATGGGATAATCAACACGGTGATGTTGATGCTTGACAGTGGATTACCATGCTTCAGTAGGGGTGACCCAATTGGAAATCTTCGCAAGAGATTTCACCCTGAGATGAGCGAGCGTGAAGCTGCCAATTTCATGATCCGTGTGTGCACAGATGCCTACAATAAGTGGACCACTGCTGGCTACGACTTGATACAATATATTCAACAGGGCATTGAGAAGTAAATTAAAAACGTAGAGTTCATCTTAAATGTACATGATTGCTTGTAATTTTGTAATAGTTGTTTAGGTTTACAGCTTGATTTTTTCCAAGGGATTCTGCACTTTAGAGAGCTGAGGTAAATATTGGGAAAACGGAAAAATTTTCAGAATTGAGTCATTGTAACCTAGAGGTGGGATTCCAGGTGAGGTTTGTAAAATTATTAGAACACTGTTTGTTGGTCCTATACGTAATGAAATTCGTGGTTCTTTCTTTGGAAGTGCAAGAAACAGGCCAAGTTGACTAGCTATGAAACTCATGCTTGTTCTTCAAACTTTCTGGGAATGGTGGGAGTTCAGAGTTCTTGACTACTGTTACTGGTAATGGGCGCCAGGTAAGCTTTGTCAGTGAACATGGGTAGATTTTGCTTTCTTTGATAACGCGGTGGACAAATAAAGAACTTATTATAAGGGGCTATCTTCTCTATATTTTGCGGTTCACTCGACGAACTATCATGTTTACTCCACGAGATTACGTCTTTGCTGCCCATCACCACCTTCATGTCCTTTTTTTGTATATAATTATTAACTGTGAGTTATTATCTTAAAATTTGATTTAGATGTCTTAATGATTTTGTTGAATTAGCATTTTGATTATTGAGATCAATGACACTTAAATTGCAAAGAATAAATCAGTATTTATTATCTTTGATGAGATCGAAGAAATAAATTTAATTTGGATCATACTATCTATCCACGAACCACCCCAAGAAAAAGTAAATTATCATATCCCAAACCATGAAATTCTTTACTGCTTGATTATTAAAAGTTAAAGTTTCCAAAATTTTATGTCAAGTGGTCCAGAATGTGAAGCAAATGGACGAAAATGAAATTGTGCAGGCTTGAGAACCAGGGAATTACAAATCGAAAACAGTTGTGTATTTATGTTACACAAATCACCACCGCACTCATTGATGCAGCCTAAATAAAAAGATTATATAACCAATAAAATCAAAACAACAGGAAAAAATAAACTATAAAGAAAAGGTGACCTCCCTTTAGCATGGTTGCAAGTAAAGGTCCATCCAAGAAAGGGGCCACTCGTTCTAAGACGGGGACCGACCACTCATCATCCAGTTTCATTTGTCATAGAAGGGAAATGGGGAGAAAAGCAAAAAAGAAGACAATGCACCACTAAAGAAAGGAAACCAATGATATAGCACTATCAATCTTAAGGCTGATGTACCAAGCTCATTCGATGCACGTTCATTGCAATTTCCACCTCCCCAATAACTGGAACCCTCTTTTTAGCCTTTTACGTACAGCGTGTGAAGTCACAAGTATTCCAAACATATTACTGTTCGTATTGGAATATTTTTTGTGCCTTTTCACTCTCGTCCTAATGTAAGAAAAACCCAACTCCAATAATTCACTTGTTGATTGGATGCCACCTATCCATCACTATCGTGTTCAAACTCAAAAAAGTGACGTGTCGTGGAAGGGATTAAACCTTTTTAATTCCTAAATCAATCCTGAGAGTTGTAGTTAAATTAATTCTAGTCAAGTACGAAAGTGATCTCTTGCAATAAGAGATATGTAGATGATCTCTTGGAACAAAAGATCATGACTTAAGTTTTAATAAATTAATTTTTCTAAAAGCCTTTGAGAATGTGAATAAAATAATAATAATAATAATTCTACACTAATTAGCTAACTGCAAAAAATTGTATAAGATAAAAATGAGACAAAAAAATAAAGATTATTTACAATATTATCTTTTTCATTCATTAAATATCTGATTTTTGTTGTTTTTCTTTTCCATGACAATCAAGCTTCTGATTTTCACACCATCTCAAGCACTAAATTGCTTTAGCCTAAAATCCTCCCTAAGAGAGAGAAGAAAAACACCCTCATTTCACATCTTTAAGAATATATATATATAGATAACACTATTCTTAACCTTTAGTTCCCATCTGAATTTTACCACCATTTTCACCCCAAACTTCCTCCTCCTTCTGTTCATCGTTTAAAACAGACCTCCATTTGATAACATTACCAAAAAGCACTCCCATATCCTCTAAAGTTCTACCTCGTGTCTCAGGCAAACATGCAAAAAAGAACACCCATCCCACCATTGCAATTCCAGCGAAAAGGAAAAAGGCTCCACCAATAGTAATGGCCTTGTATAGCATAATAAAAGTTGTAGATATTGCCCCACTTGTCACTCTATTAACTGCCACTCCCATACTTATACCTTGAGCACGTAATCTTAGTGGGAAAATCTCTGAAATGTAAACCCAAGTTACCGGTCCCAATCCTATGGAAAAGAATGCAACAAATGCCAATACCATAGCAATTGATAATGCAACGGCCCATGATAGTTTCTCATGTGAATGATCAATCATCGTCAGCCCGAATCCGAGGGTTGCTAGGGACAGTATCATACCCCCAACACTACTTAGAAGCAACGGGCGTCGTCCAATCCTATCTAGTAAAACAGTGGCCACTAATATGAAAACGGTTTTGGTGAATACAACCGCTACAGTTGCTAGTAATTTATCATTGGATGATGTGATTCCCGCCTTTTCGAAGATCCTCGGACTGTACATAACGACCGCATCTATTCCTGAAGCTTGTTGGAAGATATTAATACCGATCGCACAAATCAAGATGTGACGAACAGAACGTGTTGGATGAACGAGTAATTCTTTCCAAACACCTTCGCCATGACTCTGTTTTTGCATATGGACAACGTCATCGTTGCAATCTTGCGGAATTCCGGCGGCTTCTTTTATGTCCGATAACCTTTCTTGGGATTCTTCTTTAGAATCGGAGGTTTTGTCAAGAACTTTTCTGGCATCACGGAGTCGACCTTGCATGACTAGCCACCGTGGAGACTCGGGCATGCCTAAAACAACCAAAGCTAAGAAAACTGAAGGAACTGCTCCAATTCCAAGCATGAATCGCCAACCTAGGTTAGTTGGGAGCTTAGAGAACGCATAATTCGATACATATCCAAGTAAGATCCCAGCGTTAATGAACACCTACACGTAAAACAGAACCACAAAAGCTATATGTTAATATAATAACATCAAATCCCCAATTTATTCATTTTATGTTATTTTTACATTGCTAAAAGTAGGCTTCTTGTGTATTTATAAGAATTTTATTAGTATTTCAAACTGAACTTTTTAGGGGTATTATTTACCTTTTGAAACCATTTTTAGTGCATAACTAAATATTTATTAAAAAAAATAGTAAAAATAGCATTTTGTTTGTACTTCTTTTGTAAAATCTCTCTGTCTTAAAGAAAAAAAAATAATTAAAAACACAAGTCTTAAGGAAACAATTTTTTTTTTTTTTGGAAAATTAAAGTAACGTATTTAAATATATGTATACTTACTTCTGGAAAAGAGGTGAGAAATCCACGAGAAGAGGCTGGAGAAACTTCAACAGTGTAAACTGGGGCAATCAGGACGGCATAACCAACTCCAAAACCAGCGACAAAGCGACCAAACATGAGAAAGGCATAATTTGTGGCAAATCCCATGAGTAGAGCTCCAACAAAAAAAATGGCTCCGGCCACCACAATACTGTATCGACGACCAATCCAATCCGAGATCCGGCCAGAAACGGCGGAGCCAACAAGACAGTACAAGTTAAAAGTTCCCACAAGTAATGCTACTTGAAAGTCACTGAGTTTAAAGTCATGTTGGATGTAGATGTTAGCTCCAGTCATTACTCCGACATCTATCACAAAATACGATGAGAAACAAGTTGTTAGGATATAAAGAGAGATTTTTTCGGAAAGAAAGATTTAACAAGAACGCCTTTTTTTTTTAGCAATTTTTTTCTAATCAGTTATAAAAAATCTTGAATTATTGGTTAAAAAAAAGTCGATTATTTAGGTCACTAACTTTTTTATTTATTTATGATTAATTTTTTCATTTTATTTAATTTCAAACGACATGAAAAATCACATAAACCCGTTAAAATAACAACATATATCTTAAAAATTTTAAATACAAAATATTTATCATTGTTTTATAATTTTATATATTTTTTACGTGTTTTTAATATAATTTAAAATTAATTAACTACATAAAAAATTTAATTACAGATAAAAAAATTAGAAATTCAAATAAAAAATAAGAATTTTTCATCAATTGATCAATAGTTCAAACTATTTTATAACAATCAAACTATTTCTTTTTCTATGGAGAGTGAACAGTGCTAATTTAATTTCTTATTCTTTTCCGCACAATATTCCAAGTGAAGAACGACACCAGTGACAACATTAGTTTGGTAGTATATGATACAAAACGAATGATATTGGAAAAAAGAATGGCTCGAAAGAAAATTAGGTACTCACCGTAACCAAGCAAGACTGAAGTCATGGAAGCTAAGATTGCACAAGCAAAAGCAATTTTGTTTCTTTTTGGTTTCTTTACAGGATCAAAATCTGCAAGTGTTTTCTCTACTTCGGGTTGGCTGGGATTGGCATCCCTTTCAGTGTTTAGACCTGCAGCCATGATCTCTATGCCTAAACGAAGGTAGGTAGAGAACAGAGCAAGTTTGAGCTTAGTAGTGCTAGTGGTGGAGCCTTATTTTGGAGAAACTCATGAAGCCATGGGAACTTGAAGTTGGGAATACAGCTACATGTGGGGAGCTGGAGTTGGTTAAATAGAGACCGATAGGATGACATCATCATTTTGGTAACTTGATGACCAGTCTAGCTGGTTTCAAAATGGTCTTGTCCATATATTTTCTTGATTCCAAGATTAAAATTCATAGAAACGTCACTGTCAAAATTAATGTCGAGACTACGGAATAACCAAGCTTTGAATTCTTTTGCAAGTTGCAGGTAAGGAGCACGTGAAATTAGTAGCCAAGCTCGGTTGGAGGACATGCGTGGTTCTTGTGAAGTAGAAATTCAGAAACTGAAATTGTTGGCGGCTGCCAGACGAACGTTGGAGATGGATTTGATGGCACGTGTGATTTAGATCCTACGAGGGTTGATACTTCAGAAGCTAAAGAGTAATAATAGTGCATCTCTGTCCAACAGTTTATGACTCAGTGAAAATGTTCTCTTCCAAGAAATTATGATATTTTAATTCTAACAAATTAATTTCATTAAAATTTCTGAATGTGTATATTAAATAATTTTTTTTCTCACTTTCTTTCCTTTTTTTTTTTTACCCTATCAAGAGGAAATATCCAAATAAGGGATAAGGGTGTGAGTTAAAATAAATAAATAGTGTATCTCTCTCACCCTCCAAGATTGCTGTTCCAAATAAGAGTGGTGACTATTTTGGAATTGGTGAAAATAACATAAGCAAAGTGATGTTTTCTTGTCAGCAGTACATTGATATGGTAGTCAATAAGTGTTTGATAAAATACTTTTTCGTGGAGATGAGAGTTTGAATTTTATCTATTTGTAGTTGGTAGGATATTTAGGTTTTACTTTTGAAAATATCTTAAACTTCGATCCTACGGGATTTTTTTAAGATAAAAAATAATGTAATGTGACGCATTGTTTTTGTTAGTATGACGTGAGAGGGTCGTTTTTCCGGTGAATAAAAGTAATCATGCGGACCTTCGTGGGCCAATGGGGATTTTCACAAGAGGTCTAGCCAAGACTCTTCTCACGGATCCAAAAATAAAAACCCAATGAATTTTGCTGAGTTTATGGCTGGGTTTCGTTGAGAGAGAAGATGCTGGGGCAACACAGCAATGACGATGCAGTGTGAGATAAGATGTTGGAGATGAGAATGATTTGTGTTTGGTATGACAATTCATGTGTATTTTCTCCAGCAACGCTTACATTATGGATTAAAGTGAGACTGAGTTGTTAACAATATACAAAGCCTTGAAAATCAACTCAATAAATGATGTAACAGCGAATGCCAATCTGATTTTTGAACTGTATTCATCTAATGCAATATGATGGCTTCAAAACCCAAGCTCAAACGCCTTGGAAATTCAAACGTATTATGAACTCCGTCATATTTGTAAGAAGACAGTCACTACGAGAAATTGCAAACACCAAGGTCTTTAATAATGCAGTCACTGTCATTCATGATGCTTTTTTATTTTGAGTTTTGATGAGGTTTTAAAACTTTCAAGAATAAGGTGTTCTTTTTATAGTTGGTGTAATAGTGGCTTTTGGTTATGGCGATTAAAGTATAGATTTTTAGAAGTATAAAACATGACATCTTTTGAAATGAAACAGCTTACGGAACAAAATTAATGCTATACAAAACTTGGATTTCATTGTCAGATTTTTGGGAAGACAGCTACAGTACTCCTTGGTGCTTATGAAGTAGACGCCCTAGGAAAGGTGTTAACAGAACTCCGGACAAAATGATATGTTAAATCATTGATGCGTTAGTATAAACTTCCAAGCCCACCCCCTCTTGATGAATTTTTAAGAACCGTTGAAAGATTACGTTCAATGTTTTCAACCTATTAAGATGCATTGGGTACGTTTGAACATGACTAGATTTAACTAAATATGATAAATTGTGTAGTATTTGGTGTGCATATTAGACAATACTGGATAATTTGTGTAATGTTTGATACACACATTTTCCACATAATACAAATTAATTTTTATCATTTTCAAAATAATTTTAAAAATAAAATTATTATCTCACTACGAAAGTACAATACGTGTTTTCAACATATTAGAATGCATTTGATACGTTGAACATGATTGAATTTAAATAGACATAATAAGTTGTGTAGTGTTTGGTGTGTACATTAGATAGTACATGACAAGTTGTGTAGTATTTGGTGCATATATTAAAAATCTATAAAGTGTTTGATACACATAATTTCTACATATTAAAAATTAACTTTTATCATTTTCAAAATAGTTTTAAAAACAAAATTATTATCTAACTATGAGAGTAGAATATGTGCTTTCAACATATTAAAATGCATTTGTTACGCTAAACATTATCGAATTTAAATAGACATAATAAGTTGCGTAATGTTTGATATGCATACTAGGTAATACATGACAAGTTGTGTAGTATTTGATGCACATATTAAACACGATAAAAGTTAATCTTTATCATTTTCAAAGTAGTTTTTGTTGCACATATTAAATACAATAAAATTAATCTTTATCATTTTCAAAGTAGTTTTAAACAAAATTTTTATCTCATTATAGGGTTGGAATAAACTTTTCTAATACCATGGACAAAATCATTATTTCGTAATTTTTCATATTATTCATTATTTATTTATCACTATGTATTTTATAATTTGGTTGAATAAAGTTTGACCACATATATATAATTAATGAAATTTTACATTTAAGGCTTAATTGCAAAAAAAAAAAAAAAAAAAAATCCAATTCAAGGACTAAATTCCATACTTTGAAAAAGTAAAGAACCAAAAAATTTTAAATAAGACTAAAATCTCATGAGTAAAATATAGAGAGTAAAACAAATTATTGAAAAAATTTAGGGTAAAAGTGAACTTTTATAAAACTTTATTAACTCTTGTCGCGTCTGGTACCAAACGTATGACCATGACATACACTTGTCCATTCCAATCTCCTTTTCTTTTTTCTTCTTTTTTTTTTTTCCCCCTCATGTGGCCGACATTTTTCACTGAAGCTGATTGATGTTTTCTGTGTTGTAATAGGCTACGTAGCAGAGGGCCGAATAGGCGATGGGAAGCGAATTTGATGGGGGTAAGAAGCAAATGAAAAGTGAAGGGTTTTTGTGATTTACATAATAAGGGATCAATTAATAAATAAACCAAATTAAGTTTCAGTAATCTTCAATTAATTGCAAAGCAGGTAATAGAGAAATATAGACCAGAGTTGATTCCTTTTCCGTAAGCATCTGAACTTGGAATGCCAATGCTTCTCTGATGAAATGATTAGAGTCTCGAGGGAGCTTAAGGGGTCACATGTCCTTTCCGATGAAATTATGTATTTTCAAGTAAGAGTAACATTCTTTCTGGTTTTGGCTGCTTTTATGAATAAATGGTCACATGTTATGTGCTGTGCGTTTTTGTTTGTTTTGTGCCTTTGAAACTCCATATTAAGGACGGTAATAATTACTTCATTAAATTCCCAGCCAGTGGCTTAGCGTTGTTAAATGCTACTCGGACCTGCAATTGACACGAATGAAGGGGTTTTACCAATATGTGTATCCAGCACAGGGAGGCCAGTCTTCTACGAGCAGGCCATTGCAGGGAAAGTTGTTTAGAGTACTAGTATAGTTTTCACGTGTTGTCATTCCCTTTTTGTTAGTCTCAAGCTAAGACCCATATGACTGTTTAAACAGCACTAGTATAGTTTTCACTTGTTATTGCTGCTAAATCTGCATAATATATTTTAATATGCTAAATAATTTAAAAAATCAAGTGTAGAATAAAAATTAATCAATTTTAATTGTGATATTTTGTATAATTTAATAAGTATTATGTAATATTTTATGAAATACTTATATTTCATCATTGAGTTTAAACATATCAAATGAATATGTTTGATTTTTATCAATAAAAAAGTATATATGCAATTAATTATTTATTTTAAAAAAGATTAATAGAGGGTGCTAAATCAATTTCTATTAGAAGAGTTATTTTTATCAAATGAAGCTCGAGATTTAACGGACAAGCACTATGGCCCCTTGATACTGTTAGCCACGCCACATTTTGCAGCAGGTTTATTATCTTTTATGAAAGCAAGTATGACATCGTGATCAGTTTCACAGGGAAGGCTATCTACAACAAGAAGTAGTATCTACTATCTATGGCTATGTGATCCACTTTGGTGTCAGTGAGGTGTTTTTAATGGCTGCATGCCTGAATCTCTGTGATCGCTGCTAAAGTGAAAATTCATCAGCTGGTGTGACGCCAATAATTTTGGAGTTGTGATTCATTTCATGATCTCAAGTTTTGGTCGAAAATCCTGAAGCTCGGAGAATAGCTGTGTTTTTCCTTTACAGCCAATTTATTGCAAGCTCAATATATGTCCTAGCCTACGAATTGCCCGCAAATGAATTAGGCTGCTTTTTTTTTTTTTTTTTTCAAAATTTTGTTTCTCGTCAGTTAACGTGGGTAGTTTTTGCTATTTTTGATAACGAAGTTGGACAAATAAAGAAATTATTATATACTGGATTCCCATCCGTTTATTCCAAGCTCGATAGTTTTGCGTATGTCGGATTCCCATCCTTGTCATAATGCTGATAGTTTTCGATTCACCCAACGAACTTTCATGTTTGCTCCACGAGATTAGGCATCTGTAGCCACTTGAATCTTTTTAAGCTACAAGATTATGGGAAAGATCAAACCCAGAACTAAAAAGCGCAAAATTCTGCATTTTCATTTCTAAATGACAATGCTATAAACACCCTAATTGCGGTGAGTCCCAAGTGACCCTAGGCTCCTTAGCAGTGAAGAGAATGAATGCATGGTTGGCCAATGCGTAGTTAACGAAAAGGGCAAAGGATTGACCACATTGAGCTGTCAGATTCCCAGACACGTGTTTAATAATTTACTGACTGTTTCT